TTCCTCTTCTTGGCTGAAATGTGGACATGTTTGAAGAAGCCATCTTAGACCATGAGGTGAGTGCCTTCTGGTAGATAGACAAGATGGAGGAGCCTGGGTCCCTGACTCCACGGAGCACTATACCAACAACTGTTTATCTAAAAGCCAAGGTTATTTGGATTTTCTATCATTTGCAGCCAACATCAAAGGATCAAAAATCCGTGTTACTATGATCACTAGCTTCTATAAGCCAGTTACTGCTATTGTGACATTTCCTCCTTAAAACTCCCAAAATGAAACAGCTTGTGAAGCACAGTTTTCCTAGTCTTTATTCAACTGAAAATCAAGTTCAGGTGAACTTTTGTTCTTTGGTTCCACATAGTTTCTGTCTTGTCTGAGCACACCTTAATAAATATGCATGATTTATGCACATAAATTACATATAAACAGAACTTTAAGCCTTCCAAGCCAATGGAACTATGGCAATAAGGTTTCTCTGTGATGATTTCTATGTTGTCTTTGGATGTTCCATAATTACTATTTCCTAGAAATACTCAGCTTTTGAGTTTTTGGTATAATCCCACTAATTCTGGGATTTTAAAATAAAAAACAATGATATGCCAACCACTAAAAAATCACTAAAATCATGTTAAAAAATACGATCTAGCCCATAAAGCCAAGGACAACAGACTCAAAGCTCAGGCTTCCTGCAGCAGGCTGAATAATGGTCCCCCAAAATTGTCCACATCCTAATGCCTGGAACCTGTGAATGTTTGTTACCTTATGTGGCAAAAGGGACTTTGCAGATTTGATCAAGTTAAGGACACTGAGATGGGGAGATTATTCAGGTAGGTCTGATGTAATCACGGGGGACCTTGTAAGAGGGACACAGGAGGAGGCCGAGTCAGGGAGAAGGCGTTGTGGCAACAGAGAAAGAGATTGGAGTGATGCGGCCACAAGCCAATGATTGCAGACAGCCTCTAGAAGCTATAACAGACAAGAAACAGATTCTCCCCTGGAGCCTCCAGAAGGAACCAGCCCTGCCAGCACCTTGACTTTAGTCCCATAAGACTTATTTCAGGGAGCCCTGGTGGCGCAGTGGTTAAGTGCTCGGCTGCTAACAGAAAGGTTGGTAGTTTGAACCCACCCAGTGGCTCCATGGGAGAAAAGACCTGGTGATCTGCTGCCATAAAGATTACAGCCTTGGAAACCCTATGAGACAGTTCTACTCTGTCTTATAGGGTCGCTATGAGTTAGAATTGACTGGATGGCACATGACAACAACAACAAGGCTTATTTTAGATTTTTGACCTCCAGAACTGTAAGAGAATAACTCTGTGTTGTTTTAAGCCACTAAATTTGTGGTAATTTGTTACAGCAGCAACAGGAAACTAATGCATTGCCTTAAAATGGGGCTCTAAGAATCAGTTCCTAACATAGCATGTGGTTTGCAGTCAGCAGGCCCCTCTCTGTGAATGCAGAGCCTCAACATGCACCTAGTCATGCCCTCACCTGTCATGTGATTTTTACTGGAATTCAATACAGAAAAAAATGTAGAACAGAAATATGTTAGAAGCAGGGAGTTACTCCAATCTTGACTCTCAAGAATAGCAAAGTTAGTAATATATTTATTGTATGTGCTCAAGGCAAAAAGATCCTTAAGAAACCTGCATGTTGGAACCTGGAACACACAAGATGGAGCTCAGATAAATAAATAGTCTAGACCAGTGCTATCCAATAGAAATATACTAGCCACACATGGCATTTGAAATTTTCTAGTAGAGCAATTGTTTCTAACCACATTAAAAAAAATTTTTTAAAGGTGATGTTAATTTTAAGAATATGTTTTATCTCATAGAAGAAAACATTCTTTGATGGTTACGAGGGTGGGGAGGGAGGGAGAGGGGTATTCACTAACTAGATAGTAGACAAGAATTATCTTAGGTGAAGGGAAGGACAGCACACACT